AAAAAACAAACAAACAAAAAAACTGTAAGGAACTATTTATATTTTGTTTTGGTTTTGGGTATGTCCACAGCACCTAACATAGAACCTGTTAGATAATAAAAAGGTGGTTGCTGTTTAAGAGATGAGGGCAGAGATGCACAGCTCAGCCTTGCCATTTCCCTGGCATGTCTCTGTCCGTCAGGAGGGGCCCCGTTTGTCCCCTGCCCAGCGTCTGGCATCCCAGTATCTAAAGCTCCATCTGCACTCACCTAGGAGGATGAGAAGGAGCAGAGCAAGGGACAGCCGCATGGTCCTATCTCCTCTCCTCGCCTCGGTGATCACAGGTCCCAAGGTCTGTCAGGGACTTGAAGTCAAGCTCAGAAGAGAATCCCCCAAACCTCTTTTGAGCTTTTATTCCATCCACTTCCTACTGTATCTGCAGTTATTTTGCAATTTTCCGTATTAGGAGAAAAGGCGTGGCCTTTTCAAACAGTGTGTCACTATATATGGTGCAGGATATGTCATAACTTTTTTGCGTGTGGGAAAGAAAAAAGATCCAGGCTTGGTCACGTTTGCATGGGGAGTATCACAGGAGCTGAGGAGGAGACCTTGAGACGCAGGATCTGCTTCCAGTGGGAGAGGACGAGGCTGCAATGGGGTGAGCAAGGAGGAGGCCCAGTGATGGACATGTGCTCATGTGCACTTTGGGACGAAGGCAGCACGCAGGGCTCATGCAGCCTCACAGTAGAGGCCCCCTGGCCCCTGACTCCTTCCAGGTGGCCCCACTGCAGTGCATCTTCTTGCCCTGGGCATCTGTCCCTTCCAGGCCTGGCCTCCTCGGAGGTCCTGAGTCTCTCTGAAGCCCAGGCCCGTGGTGGGGAGTGTCAGGAGGGAAGGTGGCTCCTCTCTTGGGCGTCATTTTGCTCTAGTTGCCTCCTCCCCATGCCTTTACCTGTCGCCCCCGGGGGTGGAAAGTGCTTATTCTACTGACCTCCAAAGGGGCTCTCCCAGCCTCTCCCTCCCAGTCACCCTCCCCCTCTCTCCCTGAATGGACCTTGTCTCTTCTTTTCCTTGTATATGCTTCATGCATTTGGGTTTTGTTGGAAATTTGGGGAGGCTTTTGTAGTGTTTATTTTGGGCTTTAACTTCCTCTTCCAACCTTTGGATCCAATATTAATTCTAGAAATTATTTTTTATTTCAGAAAGTTCTCTTCTGGTTCTCTGATTGCTGATGTTTTTCCATCTCTCTTCTGTTTACAAGTCACTATCTGTTCACACTGTGGGCACAGCTCTGTTTTGTTGTTTCATTTAGTCCTTCCGTTGTCAGAATGGGTCCCTCTGCTTGTCCCCGAGCCAATCAACGGAGAAGCGGATGAGAGACCAACTGTTTCACTTTTATTTCTAGAAAAGCCAGCAATTCCAGAGAACAGCAAGGATATTTCCTCAAAGGACTGTTCTGTCCCCTCTTTCTCTTTGATGTTGTTTATTTTATAGTAAAAGTATCAGCAATATAATTACTCTTCCTAGTACAAGGCAAACAGATTTTCCCTCATAAGTTACAAAGTTACACAATATCTTCCTATCTTGAAGTGGTTGTATCTTTAAAGTACTTTTATTTTTAGACTAAATTTGTAGTTCATCAGTATTTCATGGGAGGCACAGAGTGCCCTGGATCTTTCACCTGGTGTCCATCCAGTTCCCCAAACTTACCTGTGACAATAGCTTAGGAAGTGAATGAACAATCTCCAGATGTCAGATGGAGGCTCCTCCGGCCTTTTTAGGCCTGTTCAGCAGTGCCCTGCAGGAAATGGCCATTTAGGTTAACAGTGGCTGGTTAACACTTCTCTTTTTTTTTTTTTTTTTTT